GCTCCCTCACTCTCTCTCTCTCTCTCTCTCTCTCTCTCTCTCTCTCTCTCTGTATCTCCATCACTCAGCCACACGGACTCAGACGAGCCCAGAGCATGTGTGAGGAAGGATGCGATGTGTCATTGCATAGCCGGCTGCTTTCTGTGAATGTTGTTTAAGTGTGTGCTGCCGCTGTCACTCTCATCGCCGCGTGTGCGCCTGCCAACCGGCCGTCCTGGCTAGCAACATGTTCCGTCGAACCAAAAGGTAAACGAGAGAGAGAGAGAGAATTATTAGGCTCGCGCTTGCAATTATGACTCATCAGAATGTGCTGCTCGAGTTTGATTTTTCTGATGAATTGGTGATTTTTGGTGATGATGATGATGATGATGGTGGTGATGATGATGCGCTGTGATTGTTTACACTGATGTCATCGTCTCTCGGCTGGTTCATGGAGGGATGACAGCTTGTGTTTTGCAAGTGTGTTTTCATGTGTGAACTCATGAGGTCTTGTCTTTCTGTTGAAGTAGTGATAGACCGATATATCGGTCAGGGTGATTAACTTGTCGTTCATTATTGGCCATTTTGAGATTATCTGTGTTGGCCTATAACCAGGTCCAAAATGTACTTTTTGCCACACCTGCCAATGGTGCATCACATACATTTTTTTGCATTATTTACTTAATAATAATAATACTTAAAATATATTTCAAATTAAATAAAATATAAATATTATTATATTATAACTATTTAATGCCATGTAATAGAATGTATTATTAATTAGTGTTTTTGTCTTGAATGAGCAGCATAACTGCATCGTACAGTTTCTTAGACACAAAAATGACAAATTGAAAATAAATGAAAAAACATTCTTTATTCTACAGTACATCTTAGTGATTTAAAAAAAAAGAAGAAATAATTTTATTCAGCAAAGATGCATTAAATTGATCAAAAGTGACAGTAAAGACGTTTATAAAGATTGGATTTCTATTCATTAAAGAATTCAGAAAAAATGTGGTTTCCATAAACATATAAGCAGCAAAACACTGACGATAATAATAAGAACCGCTATTTATAATTAAACACCAATAATAGAGCAGCAAATCAGCATATTAGGATGATTTCTGAAGGATCATGTGACACTGAAGACTGGAGTAATGATGCTGAAAATTCAGCTTTGATCACAGGAATAAATTACATTTTTAAACATAATTGAATATAAACCACATTATTTTAAATGGCAATAATATTTCACAATATTGCTGTTTTTATTGTATTTTTGATCAAACAAATGCAGCTTTGATGAGAGACTTACAACATAAAAACCAAACCTTAGAATAGTAGTATAAAGTGTTTTAGAAGAAAATATATATAAAAAAACCTAACACTTCTGTTAATTATCTGATTAGACACAGTCGATAATCTCACAATCATGCATTATTGACATATATAATCAGCCTCGCTTACTGTATTTCAAAATATAATTAATTTCAAAATTGGCCACTGATCACCTAGATATTGCATTTTTAGTTTTGGAAAGCTAATGTTGGTTGACCACTTGTGTAAATCTGCTATTGACTGAATGTATGTAGCTAAACTGGTAAACTGTGCATATGCACATACACACACACATTTGTTCGGCTTGGCATGAGCACATATCAGGCAAGCAGCGACTACATGTGTTTATGTTTTGTGCATATGCTGTGTGTGCGTCTGTTTGTGCTCCTATGTGTGATGTTGTGTGTGACAAGAGATTAAAGTGGCTTTGAACACGTTTGTGTGTGTGTGTGTGTGTTCACTGTCTCTCTCTCTCTCTCTCTTCATCTCTGTCCCCCACGGTGCTCCATTCTGTCTACACTGACGCTGTTGAGCTCACATTAGTCACATTCTGGTGTGTGTGTGTGTGTGTGTGTGTGTGTGAGAGAGAGAGAGAAAAGAGAGGGCTTATGAATAAAGTTCAATTATTTTGTTCAGCACTGCAAAAAGATGAATTTACTCCTTATTACAGGAGTAGTTCACGCAAAAACAAAGATTTTTTTATTCTACTTTTATGGTATTGTCTTGTCGCTGGAGTTTGATTGCACCTGGTGACCTCACTGAACATATTATTTATTACAACCCTCTACATTGCGAGTAAATCACTCGCATATGCGACTAAATCTTACTCTGTGCGACTAAATGATGTCTAATATTAGCCAATGGCTAATAAATTCTCAGATTTTACTCGCCAGTGTGTGAGTTGGAGGTTAAGTGTAGCTCAGATATATTTTCACTCACAGAACACTATGACTGAGCGCTTCAGAGTTTCTCTCTCCGTCAAGCGATCTGTGCTGTTTTTCAGTTCATCTGAATGGATGGATGTGCAACGCACCTGTATTTAACGTACCTTAAACTCTAGTGTGAAGGCGCACTAGGGTTGTGCCGATAGACGATAGTATCGTGTATCGACGATAGTCAGAGATATTGCCTGTGGCTGATGCCTTTGACGATATCAAGACGATTATTATTATTATTATTATCAGGCTAGTAATACTATCTAATTAATATTAGGGCTTATTGGTTGCAT